GTGGCTGAGCTCAGCCTTGGAGAGCAGAGGTCCAAGGCAAACTGAGGAGCCTTAAGCCCTTTGTCTTTTCTGATGCCCATTCCCTTATCCCAAATGGCCAGTCATCCATTTAGGAGTGAAGGAGGGTAGTGGGCTCAAGTGTCACTAAGGGATGATGGCCTGGCAGTCCTACCTAGTGAGATCTGGGCTCAGGAGGCACAGCTGCATTGACTCAGCCAGCTGTCCACGGGCGAGGCAGAGTCGGATAAAGGCGCGACCCTTTCCCAGAGAGGTCTTCAGCTGCGGGGTGTGGTGAAGACCAAAGAGAGGGCGAAATCAGGATGGGGAGCTGGGCCAAATCAAAGGGAGCACAGACGGGAACAAGAGTGAAGCAGGAGAAAGGGTGGAGGAGAAATGTGTGGCTGGAGGTGAGGCTAGGGGGTCCAGTGAGAGGTGAGAACAGGTGAGAAGCCTTCTGTCAATGGAGCAGGTTAGAGCGGAAATCAGAATGGGGAGCTGGGCCAAATCAAAGAGAGCACAGATGGGAGCAAGAGTGAAGCAGGAGAAAGGGTGGAGGAGAAATGTGTGGCTGGAGGTGAGGCTAGGGGGTCCAGTGAGAGGTGAGAACAGGTGAGAAGCCTTCTGTCAATGGAGCAGGTTAGAGCGATGGTATGAGTAACAAGGAACCTAGGGAAGGGCTGTATGCCTGCCTCTAGTCATTCTCTGTCCAGTGCTGGTACCAGAGCTTCCTTGTGCTTCCAAGGTCCATCCCCTTCCTTATCTCCTGCTCCTGTTACCTTGTTCTGTGAGCACACAAAGCTGGTCTGCTCTGTGTATCCCCGGTGCTGCCGCAGAGCGGTGATCAGGAAGTCCCAGTAATCCTTCCGAGCCCCCAGGAAGCTCCTCTGCTCTTTCTGGTCAAACTAGGATCAAGGTGAGGGAAAGGAATGTGTGCCAGGGGTTCCTTCTGGAACCTACCTAGCACCCCAGCTTGCTGGGAAGGCACTGGGGAGAAGAAAGGGCTCCTATAGACAGGCTTTTTTTTTTGGGGGGGGGGGGCACAGATCTGGCTCTGCCCTTACTGGCTATGCGATATTTGCTCTCTCTGAGCCCAAGTTCATACTCATTCATTCACAAACACTAAGTATATTACTCTGTGCAGGCCCCGTTCTAAGATCTGTGAACAATGAACAAAACAACCTCAGACAGCTTACATTTTGGTAGGGGAGTCAGAGGACGAATACATTAAGGTTTTTTTTTTTTTTTTTTTTTTTTTTTTTTTTAACAGGGGTTTTTTTTT